AAAAGCAAGGAGTTTCTAAATTGACACCAGCAACTTTAAGTGATTGCCCTTGAGCCTTATTAATAGACATTGCGAAGGCAAGCCGTACTGGAAACTGAAGTCGTGTAAATTCGAATGGTATATCAGAAGGGAGCAAAGGTATTTTTGGTATGAATACATCTTCACCTTTTGCACAACCTGTCATGATCGTTGCTTCGATTACATGAGGCATTAGAGTTTTGACACATAGCCTTGTACCATTACATAATCTTGGTGCATCCAGATTTCTTAGGAGCATAATAGATGATCCAATTTTCAGGCGCAAGTTATGTGGTGGCATTCCAGAAGGTTCGAGTGAATTGAGAAGCTCAGTTGGATACTGAACTACCATGTCGATATCTTTAACTGTATCAATTGATTTGTAAGATATAGCTTCACCAGGAAGTTGTTGCTGTATTTGTAGATTGATAGCATTTACATTGACGTTTTTCGGAGCTAGAATAGCACGTTCACATAACCATTTGTGATCCTTGTACTGAGTTTGAATGTTTGGAAACACTTTATTCTTGAGTTCTTCGACTGATTCAACGATATTGCAAAAGTTGTCTGAAATATTAATAAGTCCACTGACTGGGTCAGCAGGTATTTTGCCATTTCCAATTGCGAGAAGTTGTTCAGCGAAACGGCCGGCAGATACGTCACCTCGTAAGTGCACTCTCATGTTAGTACTGAGTTTTAATGGTACAACATGTCTCCAAAGATACGAAGATTTCAAGCAAGCTTTTAGCTCATCAGCCATGGTACCCTTTGGAATAACTGGTAATGTTTGCCTAAAATTGCCAGCAATAAGTACAACTACTCCACCCATATTCTTTCCATTGTTACGAAGATCCTGTAAAGTATGGTTCAAAGCTTCTAATGCATACCTATGAGCCATTGTGCACTCGTCCCATACAATAAGTTCACATTCTTGCAGAACCTTTGCTTCGCCAGTTCCTTTGGTAATACTACAGACATGAGTTTGATTTTCCAAAAACTTAAGAGGTAACTTTAATGTCGAGTGCGCAGTACGACCACCGTGAAGCAGCGTAGCAGCGATACCGGAAGAGGCGACCGCAATCACAATCTTTGACTGATGCCGGGTTTTAGCCAATAACAAATTAATGACAAATGTCTTCCCTGTTCCACCAGGTGCATCAAGGAAGATTATTCCACCAGCTTTCTTCTCGATCTGATCCAAAATCGCATTGTATGCAGCTCTCTGATCCGGCACTAACAGTGGCTCATTTGCTGTTATATAAGCATCCAACTCTTTCACATCATAACTTGTTTCTCTGAGCATTGCACTGTTTAATCGATCACCCGAATTTCGTTGAGAAGTTGGGAGCTCTAATTTCACAAGTTCTTTGCCACCCATCTCTAAAACTTTATTTTCAATAATAATCAGTGCTTGATTAAACATATCTGGTGTATAATCCAAATTCATTCCAGGATTTTGCCTGCGAGCATTTCTCAGAATGCCTTCAGTCAAGCTTTCTTTGTACGACTCCCATAATTGTTTTGGATTGGATGGTCCACAAACAGCTAGTATAAGAGCAAATAGATTTCTTAATCTTGCTGGCGATTGAGCTGCAGCTGCTTCGAACATGTTGGCATCCCATTGCTGATCATCTTCCAGTAATCCATGTAATTGACATGCTTCACGAAATGTTGCACAGATCTGACCGTTTACAGTTCGAAGAGCTTCAAATGAAGTAGGGCCTCTGACCACATGAAGTAAGAGTCGTAGGAAAAAGCATTCGAAATTATTAGGATGCACAGTGTAAACACGACCCAACGCATCTCCTTCTCTAATGTCTGGATGACCAAGCACAGCAATTCCTTGAACACGCCGCTTAAACACTTTTTCAGACGCGTTCCATGTGTAGTATTTTGGAACATCACAGTACAACAGCGTTTTGGCAAAGTCGTCTTTCTGGCAGAGTAAGAAAAATGCTGTTAGTGTTGTTCTTGGTGGTTCATTAACTTTCTCATGAACATTATCTTCGGTGAAATAAATGCGTTGACCATTTTCCAAATGAACAGCCAAATGAACAACGGTTGGATATCGTTCGTGAATTGGAAAATCCAAGATTCGCCAGACTGCCTCATTGCTACTGATGTATCTACCTAACTGGTAGTTACTAATTTCATCAACTGGTGCTCCATCTCTTCCCAAACCAAACACTGCCTGATCACTGCCCTTGTTGACATATTTGCAGATGTATTTGATTGATTTTACCGAGTTGCAATATTCCACATTAATGTGGGCTTGAAAGACCCGAGAGAGTAGTGGACAATATGGCACAACCCACTTGTTGTCAATTTCGATTTCTTGAATAGAGTTATTAATTCTCATTTTGATTTTGGCTTTGATGCCATCATCTTCTGAACTTCTTCTTCTATACGATGGATATCCATCATCACCAGTTTCTGTATCATGCAAAAGTTGTTTTGGATATTTTTTTGTACACTTTTTATTTTCCATACACGGAGAGTTTGGATTGATACTTCCACATGGACCGTGAATCATAGTCTTGATAATTATTTCAAATAGTCGAGGATCTCGTTCAGGATCAGGTAATTCTGCGCTGATTACGCTATCTATTTGATCTGCTTTAATTTTGTTCTTCAGCCATATCAAAATATGGGCATGTGGTAGTCCTCTCTTTTGCCATTCAATAGAATACATCCAGCATCTTGTTGGCCCAAATACATGGCTTTTGGTAATAATGTTGACCAATTTAATGAGCTTTTGTCTGAACACTCTTGCTAATAGGTCATGACGATCAGAGGGATCTTGTGTATATTCATGCATGTGCCGGGGACTTCCAGTGAAAGTTGCTGGTAGAATCACTAATTGACCAAGATTGTCAGCTCGTCCATCATTGGCTATAGCATCTTTCAGGTGAATGTATTCATCCACTCTAAGCTTTTTTTGATTATAACGTAGAAAAGATAATCTTTCACTTTCGATCTTAGCGTACATGTCAACCACATACTGATGGAAAAGTTGTCGGCACTGTAAGATATGATTGACAGCACCATTTCGTACCATAATTCTGTAAGCATAAAAACTCATAGCCGATACTTTTTTGCCAGTGACAGCCATTCCAGTTGTTGAATCAGTCTGTTCGATAAGAAAATGGT